AGCGGTGATTTATGATTATCTCCCAGTCCCAATTAAAACGAGGCTCAGATCTGTCGCAGGGGGAATAAGATCATCTTCACTCCGGCGCCCTGGTTTTATAAAAAAGTATGAGGCAGCTGTTCTTGTTGGCTTTGTAGGCCAAAAAACTTGCTCTAATTTGTTTTTGCTTTGTTGAGGATTGTTCTCACGGTCACTCTTGAAGGGCTTTAAAACAGATACCAGCATTTTTGTTGTCTCGACTGTAAAGTGAGGGTCAGTATTTGAATAAACTAACTCCCCCTTACAGAGGAGCCTGGACTAGCTCACTGACTGACTGACTGACTGACTGACAGCTTGCTTACTAATCAACTAGTTAATCTGCTGGGAGGTGAATAAGCAGCACAGAGAAACATATCCACTGTTGTAGCAGTATTCATGTCTTAAGAGTTACCAAAGAACGGTGAAACCACTGAGGCATACGGAGAGTGCCGACCTCCACCAAGGCCAAAGTTCAGAGTTGTTTAAAAAAATCATTAAGCTCAATAATATATTTGTCAAATTTGGTCAAATAATTTTTAAGCAGTGGATCTAGTGGTCATGGGTTATTCTTTGACCCATATGCCGCAGTGGATATATTTCTGTGATCAGCTTGTTACCAGACCGGCTTCACCCGCTGTGTTGCCGTATAGACGTCCGACCTGCCGACAGTCGACCCGTCTGACTGATGAGCTGTTTGAAAAGCCAGTGGGGCTCACTGTAAGCATCTTGTGTCCTTCAGATGGAAGAGGGTGAGGGTTCAATCGGCCCAGAATATGACCCTGTTAAAGCCCAGCGGAGCCCAGGGGAGGACAATTGGCACCTGCTAGCTGCTTATCCTCCCCCTGCTGCCCCCGGCCCAGACCCCTGCTCCCCTAGGTAGTACCATACTTCACTCCCATTGCCCCCCCCCACCCCCCTCCCGTACTGTCCCAACCCCAGCATTATGGCTTCCCTCGAGGAACAACCAAACCCTGTGCACCCCCCCCCCCCCCCACCCCCTGACAGCTGCAGCAAACCTCATATGTCCTTATATCTGGTTAAACTTTCCTGCACCGTCAGTCATTTTAACCATGGCTGTATGTCACAGCTGTCTCTGCACTGTCCTTCAAGTTGAAAAAATACTTCCTGTGTATGAGTGTTTCCTCCCTGTGTTTACTTCTCATCAACTTCATCCATCCCTTAACCCTCACCCTCACCTCACCCCTCCTCTCACGTGCACGATTGTCCCCATGCTCTCCTCCTGACACGGTCTCACTTCACCCCTCACTCTTATTAATCACATCTGGATTCAGAGTGTAGAGGAAGAGAATGCTGTTGGCATGCTGCCTTTTTTGTTATCAGTGTATTTTTGTCAACCATCTAATCTCACCCTACTAAACAATAGTTCTTCATATTGAAGCCTAAATGATAAATCTGTGTCTGTGTGTAAGTATTTGATATCTAAAAAAAAAAACTTTTGTTACAACTGGGATTTGAAGTATGAGTTTAATTTCTTTTCTTCTTTGTCCTATGATTTAAGACTTTCTGCTTTTTGTTTTCTGTTCATACAAATTGTGCCTTCTTAGACATCATGCTACAAACCCCAGACAACGTGACATTTTCTCATACAGTTCACAATGCTGAATTAGACAATGAACATGAACTACAGCTGAACTCTAGAGCTCATACAGTAAATCATCCATGGGGATGATGTCACCCATACAGCCGTCACTGAGGCCTTGGCCAATTTACGACAACATCTTTGATTCAGACGTTGTTTTCTTAGAAAGCTTCAGTTTACTAGAGAACTATTAATCATAAAGCTTTGCCTGGTCCGACTCTTGGCTTCATATATCCACCGCCTCTCCAGCACTTGCAACAAAAAGTTAATTCAGAAAGCAACTGGTTAAGTCGATTCTTCTTTGTTGTTTATCTCTTCCATAAACAGCAATGGAGAACAAGTTTTATTGTACCTCGACCTCCACTAAAAACGGCATTTTCTGCTGAATACCTGATTCTGATTTACAGGCCCTGTGATGCCTGATTGCTGCTTCACTGATTGATACTAAGGCAATATCAGTCATCTTAGAGAAAATGAAACGCAGTATCGGTCATACCAACATACACTAAACACAGAGGACACTTTTCCTAAAAGGTAAACAGGATTAAAGGATACATATCCATCCATGGGTACAGCTCGTCTGCTGTCACATATTGTTTGTGTTTGGGCTGTAAGCACGCTCAGAAAATCAAATCAATCAATCAAACTTTATTCATTTAGCACCGTCATACAAGTCAAATGTTATTAAAAGTGACAGAATGAGCGTGACATCAGACAAAACATGGTACAAACAAAATGGGTTTAGAAGTAGAGACTAATGCACACCATAGCAAAAAAAAGTAATCCAAATAATAAAAAGATAAAGAGTTAGAAATAACAAAATATAAATAGTTGAAATAATCAAAAAAGTAAAGATTAAAAGTTAAAGATACATAAAATAATAACTAAAATCAATAGGAAATATTACAATGATGAAATGATACAACCCAACATAAAATACAGACTGAATAGATATGTTCTTAGGTTATGTTTAGAAGTATAAATGTTTCCATCTCCTCTCAGGTCATCCTGCAGACGGTTCCAGCGTCTCGGGGCGTTATGATGAAAGCATCATCATCAAATGTTTTAGTTCTAGATGTTTTAGTTCTCCTCCGTGCAACAGCTTAAAGAGAAGGGCCGGAGGAGAGAACAACAACCTCAACTTTTTCTCTTTGCTCCTGCAGGGTTTAAGTAGTGTCCGTTTTATTACACTGTACCTTTTTTTTTTTTACACAGAGGAAAAAAGCAATATGTTCTAATACAATAAGAGCAAAGCCATGCATTAATTATCCAGGGACACCTGACACTGCCAGAATAAATCATAGTCAGTTTGTCCTGTCTATGTTTTGCTGTTGCCGGCCAAGAAGCAGAAGTTTGGTTTCCTGCCAGCAGAGTCTCCAGTTTCTGCTGCAGAGAGATGTACAGTAACAGAGTCCACTGTGGAATAATGCGCTCACACATTCAGCTACAAAGACGACAAAACCTTGGACTATAAGTCAAACAGTAAAATAGGAAAGTTTTGGAGGCTGTAGTCCTCCCAGCGGGTGTCCCTGGTCCGAATCTGACCTGTAGCCTTCATCCCCCACTCTCTCTCTCCCTGATTTCTAACTCTATCCACTGTCCCATCTCTAATAAAATGCATTGAAAGCACAAAACTAAACATTAAATCTTTAAGACATTACTGGAGATAAATCAAGACAGCTTTGATAACACATTGCACTCAGAGGTTAGAGGGCTTTTACAAAGCCAAATAAATGGCAAAGAATTAGACATGTAAACAAGCAACCGAGTAATAAAAACAATGAGCATTAAAGCCCAAATCATCAAAGATGGAATATATTTCTTGTGTGTAGTTGCAGCCTATTTTTGGACTCATGAGAGTCACGTGGGTTGTAGAAGTCAGTCTTAGTTAAACCTTTAATCATGAAGCCCCGTCGTGCTGTAGAAAAGGACGAGGATCAGTGTGACCTCACACTGTTTTCTCTCTCTCACATCTAACACTATCTGTCTCTCTCTCTTTCCCTCTCTCTCTACCTTTCTGTCTCTCTCTCTCTCTCCATCTTCCACCTCTCTCTAACTTTCTGTCTCTCTCTCTCTCAACCTTCCCACCTCTCTCTTTCTGTCTCTCTCTCTTTCCCCTCACTCTAAATTTCTCTCTCTCCCTCTCTCCCCTCTCTCTCTAACTTTCTGTCTCTCTCTCTCTCTCTCAACCTTCCCACCTCTCTCTTTCTGTCTCTCTCTAACTTTCTGTCTCCCTCTCCATCTTCCCCCTCTCTCTTTCTCTCTCCCCTCTCTCTCCAACTTTCTCTCTCTCCCCTCTCTCTAACTTTCTGTCTCTCTCTCTCTTTCTCTCTCTCCCCTCTCTCTAACTTTCTGTCTCTCTCTCTCTCTCTCCACCTTCCCAACTCTCTCTTTCTGTCTCTCTCTCTTTCCCCTCACTCTAAATTTCTCTCTCTCCCCTCTCTCTCTAACTTTCTGTCTCCCTCTCCATCTTCCCCCTCTCTCTTTCTCTCTCCCCGCTCTCTCCAACTTTCTCTCTCCCCTCTCTCTAACTTTCTCTCTCTCTCTCTCTCTCTCCCCTTTCTGTCTCTCTCTCTCCCTCTCCCCCCTCTAACTTTCTCTCTCTCCCCCCTCTCTCTAACTTTCTCTCTCTCTCTCTCTCTCTCTCTCTCTCTCTCTCTCCTCCCCCCCCCCAACTTTCTGTCTCCCTCTCGGGTGCTGACTCAGTTTAACAGAGCAACCTGATCCTGCAGGTTTTTTAGGCAGCGGCTTCATTCAGCTTTCACTCCCTACAGTATGCATCACTGGCTCATTGAGAAGTCTGAAGTCACTCTTTTTATTTAGACACTGAACTTTCCTTTACTTCTACCTCCTACATTACGTGCTACAATTTTACTGATTTTTCATTATTTGAGAAAACATTACGGGGATATATGATGACAACACTGACTTCTTATCATGCATATTCAGACGATATCTCTGGAGCTTTAAGTACTTCTGGCCAAACTGAAGGTCACTGGAAATAAAACCATTTAACTGATGTAAATTCCAAAGAAGCTCAAACTGCTTTTCATTTTGATTTATTGCTTTATTTTCCTTTTCTTAGAGGTTTTATTATGTATTTATGAATGTATTAAATCTGTTACATTTCACACCCTTGTTGCATGTTTTGAATGTGTTCCCTGTACATCATTGTTCCCCAGCATGCTTTATATCATTCAGCCTTTATCATCCTATCAGAATGTGATAGGATGACCTGAATCACACTTGTTCTAATGTATTTCTTCTCTTTCTCCACTTACTTCTACCTCTATCCTGCCCTTCTCCTTCCTTTTTTTATCCTCTGTTCTTTTCTCTCCCTGTCTCTACGCCACCTTTCATGTCACCCTCGCTCTGCCTCCAGTCTCTATCAATCCCCCAGGAGCAGGCCCTCAGCTGTATGGAGTCCCTGTGCTGCTACCAACATGGGCAGAGCGGCTGTTCCCGCCTGGCCCGCCTCATGGAGCAAATGACCGGGCAATGCCGGGCCGGCGCCAACCAATGCACCGCATCGAGCCGCAGCAACAGGTGGGCAGGACGACGGCCGCAGGAAACAATGATTATGAATCCTGAAGAGCACGCATCACCTCACGGTTTCAAAAATTTGGGCTGCAGTCCTGACTGCTATCGCCCTTAATGTGGCCTCAACTATACTGTAAGTCTTTCTTGTTCCGATGCGTGGTTGAGCATGCGGTTGTTGGGAAGCAGGGTGTCACACGGTGAAGGACACTGGTGTCAGGGTGCGGTGAGCATAACGAGGAGGTGAAGATGTTTTGGGAGTCTGGAGACTGAACATTTCAGTAAACCAGTAAGAAATGTGTGTGAAAGCTCTTATCGACAGAAATGTATTTTTCATAACTTTTGTAACCAAAGTCATAGAGACAGACGTCTTAATAGATTGTAACGGCCATGCCTTCTACATAGCATGCACAGGAGGATGTTTGGGAGTCTAGATAGGGAGATTTTGATTCCCTTAAAGCTCTTGAACTCCAGACCTGCTGGCACCTAACAGGTCTCAGCGATACAACATGTAACCTGTCTTGTCTGTGAAGCCCCTACATACGGTCTGTATATAAGCCCATGTAGTCATTTATGCTGTTAACTGTCTTTCTGTCTGTTTCTGTTCAATTATCCCCTAAAATCAAATTTGGTTTTGCCTAATCTTGAATGCACTTTAACAGATGTCTATATGTCATTTAAGTTGACTTGTTGGCTCTTTTATTATCCAGTCATCCTCTTGTTCATCAGAAGACTTCTCCTCTTGAGATTCAGCATGATAACGGCTAGCTGGGCCAAAAACCTATACCATCCAGACTCTAAGTTTGTTCGGGGATGTCTTGTTGGTATCCACCTCTGCCTGAAGAGAGGGGGTGAAAGTGCTTCTTAAGTGCTGTTTTTAGTCTTGAGCTGCACTTTGCAATTTTGCATTCTGGTGTCCCTAAAAGGCAGAGAGAGGTGAAAGTAATGAAATGTGCTTGTTTACTGCACTCTCTGCAAGTGCAGGTTAAAAAATGTCTTCTCTGCTGCAACACTGCTTTTTCTATAAAGCAGGATGAAGCAACAATCACTTGTTTTCTAACATCATTTTCTTTTGCATAGTGTAGTTGTAAAGAGGAGTAAGCTTCGGTCACAGTTTTCCAGGCTGCTCAGTCAGCAGATTCAGTGATATTGTGGCTTTTCTACCTGAATCCCAGCGACTCAGAGGGAGTTATTGATTCATTGACCTGATCAGCCCTTTCTGCTGAGCAATCAATACTCCCCAAAACAACTTGGGGCCGCCAGTATTGATTCCATCAGTAATGAAGATGTAGCATTCTTGTTCTTTGTGTTAGTCCTTTTGCAGGGGACCGTGCACAGAGCCTGATAGTGTAGGTATGCATGTTTGTTTGTTAATGGCTTTGTGTGTGTGTGTTTGAGGGATGCACTGTTCCTTCTTATACTCTCCCTTCAGCCCCTCTGGACACCAACCTGCAGACTCTCTGTGCTCAGTCAGGCCTGATGAATACAGCAGTATTATACTCAGTCTCAGAGAAGAGACATAAAAACTAACTATCAGCAATCAGCATGTTCTCTTCTTTGCCAGGCCTTGTGTGCAGAATGAATAACATCTAATGCGTCGTCTGATCATTTATAACTCCGTAATCATCCTCACACTGTGGACGTTAATATATGCACCGTAAATAATCTATTTCAATTGTTGTCAGGATCATTGTGCTGGAAGAAAGGAAACTATTTCTATGGCTTCGGGGTCAGATTACCTCTAAATGCATGATTCACTTTAGATTAATTTCTTCCTGCAGGAATGATTGATTTGTTTTCTGACCTTGGCACAAAGCAGACAATTGGATTCTTCCAGATGAGCAAACAGCAGCCAATTTGTAAATGTAAACAATGAACATATGTTAAATGCTTTGCTTTGGTTTGCTGTACACAGTGAATACAAAAAAACAAAAAAACACAATCATCTACTTAATCTTGGGCTGAATTTGAAGGTTTTGTTTTTTCCATTAAAGCAGAATAACTGATATCCAGCCCGCATTTGGCCTTAATGCTACAATACTGCCTTTGGGGGGAAAGGGAATGTCTCCACCCAGCCCTATATAACATGCTTAATAACTGTACTGAACTCATATAGTAAGCATATCTACCAACATATATAATAAATCAAGTATTTATCTGTTCTATATTGGAAGCCCAACTGTAGCTGGCTGCTTTTCTTAGCCTGATGTTGCATCACTGAATGCCAGCATTGACTGAATCATGACTTTATCAGGAACAGGGACACCTAATAAGAATCATGCCACCATGATGTGAGGCTGAGAAACTACAATGACTGCTTCTCCATCCAGATGTTGAACAGATTCACCTCAGAGTCATCTCATTGGGGGGAAAAAAAAAAAGCAACTTTTTAGTGTTTTTTTCCAAAAGATTCTTAAACATCACAAAATGTGTGCGGTTGCAACATAAACGTAACTAGTGTGATGCACAAATTAAAACGAATGAATTGTAAATTCTTCTGTTTTGCAACCAAATCTCAAGAAATTAAAGAACGAACCCTTTATTGGAAAATTGACAACATGGGTTCATAAACATATAATTAGATAAATTTAACCCTCTGATGTAAAGTCTGTCTGCACTCTGACACCCTTTGCTCCTTTTCCTCTTCTCCGAGAATAAGGGGAACACATCCTAAACCAGAGAGGCTGCTGGGAAATGTAGTGTTAGAGAAATCTTTTCTCCATAATTCATGTTTCTAAAAGTCTGTTTCTACTGGACCCTGAAGCCTTATACAGTCTGTGCTTCTGAGAAGAGGCCAACTGTGAGGGCGTGCTTGTTTTGTCACCCAGTGTTTCAGGTGGGTGGGGTTTACCTCCACAGTAAAAACTCTGGCTTGTCTGCTACAGACTGATAAACAAGAATGCCCAGATTTTTGTCTTGTTGCATGGGGGCTACTGTTGCCTTTGGTACTTTGTATATGGTGTAAACCTGTATGTATCTGTGCCCCCTTCACACACTTAGTGCTCTTCTTGCACTTTTCTTTTTCTGTCCTGTCAGTGTCTTTGTCCTTCTGTGTCTGAAATCTGCATAACGTTGCTCGACCTCCCGGATTAATTATTCATGTGCTGCCGACATCCCCTGTGAGCTTTCGTCTTTTCAGAAAAATCTGCCTGATCTGTTCTTTACTTGGGTTCAAGTTCCCACCGGCTCACCCCCGAAACTGTTTTGGTGCTAACATCCTCTTTGTTCAGTCATAACCCCCGGGTTGCAAAGACCATTTTTAGCATTGAGATGTTGCCCTGGTATAGACGGCTGAGCTTGTGATGTGGCACGTAAGAGTGCCTCTGGTCATATTTAAACTACTTGGCCTCTTTAACAGCTCTTAAAGCGGCTGTCTTCATCTAAGGTTATGATGAGGATTATCCAGAGCAGCTGATATTTGTTGATGTTGAAGGACTGGGGCAGAAATGTTCAGCCCTTCCTCTTGTTGTTTATTCAGCCCGGGATAGTTGACACACACACATTTTCTTGGATTTACTCGTGAAGTCATGTGAAGATCAGGAGGAGCAGCAGCCAGAAAAGAGGATGTTTGAACTCTGCTCCTCTCTGCTGCTGCTTTGAGGCACACGCTCTGATCACTGACTCTGGATGTACTTTGACGTGAGTCAGCGTGGCGGCAGTGGTGGTGGTCGTTGGTTTGTTGTGACCTTTACCATTCAAATGTTGCAAGCCGTCAGTTTCATGTTGCATGATCGTCTCTCTGGCCTTTAGTTTGAAAATGTTTTGAGCAGTGTACAAGCACCGTGATGTTGTAAAGCTGTTTGTTGTTTCCAAAGGAGATCCAGCCCGTTAAGCTAATAAACAGAAAGGGACATTATCATGTAACTACATAAGGATATGAAGAATTTATACTCTATTATATATATATCTATATCTATATAAAGCTGTTATTTTTCTATTTAAAGGTGAAGGTGTTACATTTAGAGAACAGTCCCGGTTATAGTGAGAGTGGATATATGAGGCAAGAATGATGTTGATGCTTGTTTATGATGATTTATTTTAATTATGATGATTGTGTTGTTTTTATTCATCTCATCCTCTTCCTCCTCCTCCAACAACAAACCAGAGACAGTTTCAGTAAACTAAACAGGTTTCAAACATTTAAACATCTTAATAGCACAAAGGTTTTGAGGCAGAGAACCTTTAATTCTTTTATCTCAGCTGCACACTTAAGGATATAGATTTACTTTGACTGGTGTTTATTTCACTAATGAGGCGTATAAGGGATTATGATAGATCAACTCTGAATGAAACAAAATCCTAGCCCGTTATTTATTCACATCAGGCAAGGCAAGTTTATTTATGTCTCACATTTCAACAACAAGGCAATTCAAAGTGCTTCACACAAAACATCAAAAAGCATCCTGACAGAGGAAAGAAAAGAAACATTAAAATAGAACATTAAAAAAAAATCACTCAAATTATTAAATCTGAAAATATGTTTAAATAAAAATAATTCAAATGAAATTAATTTAAATAAATAAAGTAAAAATATAAAAAGAGTTAAATGTTACAGTGCAGTTATTAAATCTTATGAAAGCTGTTTAATGAAAGGCAGCTGCAAACAGGTGAGTCTTCAACCTGGATTTAAAAGAGCTGAGAGTTTCAGCTGACCTGCAGTTTTCTGGGACTTTGATCCAGATATAGGGAACATAGAATCAGGGTGTCAGCAGGACCTAAAGTTTAGACATGAAGGACGGAGATGATTGTGTAATAGTTATAAGTGTTAATAATAATGATACTTTGTGGGCTGGTATGAGGTACTCATCAAGAGTAAGGAGTTTATTAGTCACCTGAGAGGTTGGTCAGCAGTGTGCGGGAACAGAGGTTAGGCTTTACATTAAAGATGACGAGTACGTTTACTCCAAATAAAATCACTAAGTTTAAGAAGAATCAGAAATACTTCATTAATCCCAGAGGGAAATTCGGTCGTTACAGTTTCTCCAAAATATACAATATAGCAGCAGAAATATAGTAATAAAAATATTAATCAAATAGAATAGGAATATAAGTAAGATTTCAATAATAGGTACAAGAAATATTTACATGAATAAGAGTAGGATCAACATCAGATTAATCTATGCTTTATTGAAAAAAAAAAACCCACTGTGCTTTATTTTTCTGCTAGCAAGCCCGTTTGTTTCAGCACGACTTGCTGATCATGTCATCCCACATGGCATATATTCTATGAGTGTGCAGGACTGATGTTATGAATCTAAATGAAAACACCTGAATGCAATTTGTTATACAAAAGAAACAATCCTTAGTTTTTCATTTTGAAAAGTTATACATAATAAAATGTAACTAATGTCTGAGATAAATGAAGACTGACTTACAGATTTTGTTCTGGTAAAAAAAAAAATCAACAACTGCTTTTTAGTACAAAGATCTGTGTTCTATACAGACCCAATTCAAAAAAAATCTATTTTAAGTTGAGTTCACTGAAACTGAGCGAACACTAGTTTGAGTTCAGGAGGAATTTCTTTTCATGTTTGATTGCTAACATCACCTCACTCATTACTAACTCTCCACTCCTCCATCCTCTCACTCCTCCCTGGATGTGTACATACACAACTGTCTGAACAACTGTATGTTAGTGGATGACAGCTCAGCCCACTTCCCCCTCCCCTCACCTACAAATACACACACACACACACATTTATACACACACTCACTCAGTCAGTCCTCTAACCCTCAGTCACTGCTGCCTGTTTTCAGGTCTTGGAGCGACACGGAGAACTTCTACTCCAATGATCGCAGCATCCTGACCCTGTCGCCCATCGAGTCCACCCACTGCTGACTCCCCTGGGGGGAGGGAGGGGGGGGGCCTCTAGAAACACAGTGAGGGGGGAGTAGAGCGACATAATCACACCACCACACCCCCTGGCACCATATTATGCACCTACTTTAGTTTAAAGTCAACGTAGCCTCAGCACAGATGGGACCTCTTGGGAGTATATGAAACCAAAGGACGAGGAGGACACTGACGATTGGACCTGCATTCAAAAAGGAAATAAAGCATGAAGTGAGGAGACGGTGGATGTGGAAGATCCAGTCATCATCTGTGCAGCAACAATTCTCAGATTCCTGCTGCTTACAGGGCGTCTGCGAGTCCTGCGACCGTATCTGAAAACACCATATTCAAATTCAGCTGCTGCTTTAAATTAAAGAAGAGATTAATTACAGGAATTATCAGGCAGATATTTATTTTCATTTTCAGCACGGTTACCACCTTCTCATTCTTGCAGCTGAAATAATCGTGATTCCTGTGAGTTGTGTAGAAACAGGGTGGAGGTTCCTGACAATCTGGATCCTCCGTGAAGCAATGCATCCTTAGCATCGTAAGCTAACTGAGCTGGTTTGGACTTTCTGACACAGGACTGTGTTTTAAAACTCCAGCTGTAGCACCAGTGAAAGGCTCCACAAAGTAAGACCACAGTCCTACATCTCAGACATGTTGGAGAGCAGCTAAAGCCTTAGCCTGGATGAACCTTCAGTTGTGAAAGGGGAATGTCCCGTAGCTTTTTGGAGCCATGCAGGATTCTGTAAACGTCCAGACCAGTTACCTTTGGAGCTACATGACTCCCTCAGAACTGTCGTAAAGGAGACTCATCTCAACAGTGGAACCAAAGACCCGAGAACTCAGACTGGAGTGTAAAAGATGTTTATTTTTGTGCCTGATTGTACAGAAGCTTATATTGTTAAGAAGACGTTTTGTTATTGTGCGTGCTGCTCTCAGGCCTCTCTCTCTCTGTCTCTCTCTCTCTCTCTCTCTCTCTCT